AGCGGTGGAGGTTAGATGTTCATGTTGCTGCGGTCTGCAGTCTGGACGTTAGATGTCGCTGAAAATTACACACTGTAGCTTTAAGTCAGTCTGACTATAATTTTAGTTCTGTATTTTGTTCCTAATTCAACAAGTTTAAATGTAATTATAAGGGAGTTATTAGAGGAGCTCCTCATTTATAACATATATAACATATTTATGTAAATGTCTACTAATGTAAACATATTTATGTTTCTTTTTAGTTTTTTTTTAGTTTTTGATGGAAACTATAAAATGCCTAAGAATAAATGGATTAAAGGATTAAATAAAATAGTTTTATTTTATAATCAGTTATTGTTTTGGACAATCATCATGACTTTTAACAGAGAGGGGAACTCATGGTAAGATAAAATGCCCAGAGAGGAACACAACCCAAAAAAGGTTGGGAAACACTGAGCTACGGTGAAAGCTAAGTCTTCTTTAGCGATTCTGCTGATGTTATAGTTCATAAAGCTTAATAAGGAATAGAGAAAACAGAGCAGATTGAAAATTGTGATCCAAATAGAATAAAATGACTAATTTTTTATCATCAAGGCTTGATGATAAAGACCTGAGACTTGCATAACAAAGGCTTGTTTTCACTTCTGGTTCGTCATTTAAGCCTTTTTTTTTTTTTTTACAAAGTTGAATACAAATATTAATTGTAAATAAATGACCCAGTGTTTTTTTTTAATATCTGAATCAACACATAGTAAAATCAGAACAACTCAACAACTGCTAATAAGATTAAGTTAGGTGAAGTCGGCTTTCTCATCGTAGCAAAACAAAAAGAACCTGCTTATAACCTTAAATCAAAGTTGTAAGCTGTTTCATTTCCATCTGTGATTTTCTTTGTGTCCTTTGATGTCTATATACCTGTAATTGGCTGTGCTGAGGCTCAAACACACACATCTATCACATCTCATGTAATAGTATGCACAAAGTACTGCAGGATTGTAACCTGGAAGAAAAATGAAAGAAACTGGTTCTGCAACAAAACCCAAATGGTGACATGACTTTGGATTAAACCACTCTTACTGCTCATAGAGGATGTACCACCTGACTCTGTGCATCCAGAAATTATGTTTTCTTTTTTCCTTTTTTAAACCTAATGTATAAAAACTCTCTCAGATTTAAAATAGGGCATCGGTGAACATGTGTTGTGAAGTTTAAACATAAATTCTTTATTAGATGGAGCTCTGAACTTTGACTAGGCCGTTCTGATACATGAATATGCTTTGATCTAAGTCCACCTTAGGTTAAGTTCAAAGGTCAGCAACCTGCCCTGACTCCGCTAAATAATTCATTAAATAATAATGAAATAAAGCTATTTAGAGACGGAAATATGAAATGATATTTCGATAAAACACAAATCCTTGTTTTTTTTTATATCTGTGCTGCCATTTTAAACAACCTGTAGTTTATCCGTATGTTTAGTCTTTAAAATGAGACTAAACATAGTCTCATTTTAAAATGAGGAAAAAAATGTAACATATGAAAAATTAGTTTTCTCCAGTATCATCTTTTCATTTGTTGAAAAAGCTGATTTAAAAAGAAACACAAATAACTTCTAAGCTAATGACAAGAACCTGAATCTAAAGTCATATTTCTGTCTTTTAAAGATGCTTAGTTCGGAAAATTCAATTCAAATATTCTTTAAAAAACCAGCTGAGGCTCCTATCAGAACCATTAGTCGGCTCTTTAGCATTTTTAACCCCTGCTGAAGGTCCAATCCGGCGCCGCAGGCTGCAGAGCTCAGCTCTAGCTGTAGGATTTGGGTCTTTGTGCAGCTTGGAGATGGATCTCAGGTCTTTTAAAGCCTTTTCTTCTTTTTTTTTTTCTAAGACTGATTGGCATTTAGCTCCATGCAGCTTCCCTGGATCCCCTACAGCGTGAAGCTGCAACTGTTATGTGCGACTACGGGGATGGTGCACAATAGATGCTTCCACCAGGAAAACTTTAAGCATCACGATTTGTGGATTTCATAAACCACAGTTTCTCCCTCAACAGCGTCCCACCTGAGCTTTGAATCTTAAAAGCTCCTCCAGAAACACCCCAGGCCTTCTCTTGTAGATCTTTGCATCATACTGTTTCCTGGTTGGGATACTGGATCAAACCAAACACATTTGTTTTCATATAACCCAAATTGTACTACTTTAAATATCATTAAGATCACAAAAACACACCCCACTCTTCTCAGATGTGTGTTTATCATGAAATAGTCAGGAAGCAGATAATGCTTTTCAATTTCCTCCACAGAGGTTAGATGTCAGTAACTTTTTTTTTCAGTACCATGATAAAATCTGAAAATGTTCAGTCTTTAACCATCAGCATCGTCAGTGATCATTTAATTTTCACCACAGTTCTCAGTCTGCGAGCGACACACAACCCTCCAAGGAGTTGAATCCTTTCCAAAGGAAAGTAGAGGCTGCATTTAAAAGTTTAAAGGGCTCCACACCTGAACATTCAGTGTATGTTTCCCTTTTCATTTGTGTACTTTAATACCAGTAATTCCAGTCCAGCAGCATAGTTTATCCCTCTTCCCCCTTGCTGCTGACTAATCAGGCCCTGACAAAAACAACCGATGAAGGAGAGCAGTTCCCCTAAAGAAGAAGGGTAACAGTAGAGGTTAACATATTGATCCCAATGGGAGGTAAGAACCACTGATGATAAGGCAAGTAGTAGAGCATCTTATCAAGTGATCTGGCACCAAAGCAAGAAGAATCCAGCCTTTAATCTCTCTATATCTTCCCTATCCTTCTCCCCATTTTGCCACCTCTCATTTTTTCCCCCTTTTTTTGCAGCTTGAGGTAAAACTCATAACCTCACAGATCTGATAAGCAGCCACCTCCACACTACCCACAGAAACCAGTGAGTGCAATCTGCTTTTTCTTCATCCTGACCTTTAGATGAGCTGTAATCAATGAGAATGCATCGGATCGTTTAATTGCAATGTGTGTTTAACCCATTATGTTGCAGAGCAGTGAGGCAGACATGCAGGAGGGAAAGAAAACGCCCTACACCCAGCTTCGGTGTTGACCTCCTCCTTCTCCTCCTCAACATCACCTTTGCATATCCATTTTTTCCCTCTCTCTCTCTCTCTTTAGGCCACATCTGGACTACACCTCTGATTCCTGCGCGTTTTTTTCTTCCTCCCCCTGCCTTTGTTATAACCATCAATGAGCTGCCTCATTTCCAAGCCTTCATCTTTCAAGTCGTCCTGATGTCCTTTTTTTAAAATGACTGCAACTCATTCAGTGTTATTAGATACATTTAATAATAACTAATTGATCGGTGCAATCAGTTAAACATAAATAAAGAAAAAAGGGGGTGCAGAAATGAGAGGTAAGGGCGCAGAGCGCGCGTGCCAAACCGTGGGAGCGCGGATTTAACGCAACATTGCGTCACATTGTGGAGAAAAAAAAAACATTTAAAAAGGAAAAACAAAGGAAAAAAGTTGCAGCCTACCTTTAACTTGAGTTTCATATTCGGCCACGATCTCCTTGTCCTTGCGGAATTTAGCCGGAGACGTCATGGCTGAGTTTGGAGATCAGATCTCACTTGTTTCCCCCCCACCCCCCCACCCTACTAACTCTAAAAGCCCTCTGTGGATGAAAGGAAAAACCTTCCTGGAACAAGGCTGTGAGGGGAGCAGAGTTGGAGGAATAAAGAAGCAGAGATCCTGGGATGGGAGCTGGCAGCTCCTCTCGGTGTGCTCTGTATTGTCCTCCCTGCCTGGGCTCACTCAGGGCGCATTGTGCGTTTGGCGCGGCTGCTCCTGCCTCTCCGCCTCCTCAAAACCGGTTATGGTAAAAGCAGCTTCTACGGGAAAAAGATTCATCCCCTTTTCAAAGGAAAAATCAAAGAGAAACTAACACAGCTCATAGGTAAAAGTTCCTATGATGCCAAAAACTCCTCCGTCGGGTTTTCTCGCCAGAGCCCGCCCGCCTGTCTGAACTCAACTGCTCTGTTCTTCCTCCTCCTGAAGTGAGAGAGAAAGAGAGAGAGAGGGGAAACCAAAGTGGTGATGGAGTGTTGCTGGTCAGCTCTACTGCGCAGGACAAGCATGGCAGCACTCTAACCGGCCAGCAAGCAACATCTTATCTCCTCTAAAGCTCTTCATACGAAGGGTTAACAGCCAGACCATTTTTGGCTGGCGCTCCAAATAAAGCTTTTCCACCCTTGCAGATTTAAAACCGTGAAATTTGTCACAATCAGGGGCGGATTTAGGAAATTTGGGGCCCTAGGCAAAAACAGGCAGGAGGCCCTCTGAATGGAGAAGACAACACATAAAACACACCCATTATACAGATAGAGAAATGTTAATAGAATAAACATACGTTATTTGTTCTATATTTTGTCCCTCTCTTCTTGTCCTTTTTCTTGTTGTTTACCTCTCTATGTTTTGTACTCAGCTGACTTTTCATGCTGTCTCTAAAGGAATGAAATATTTTTTTCCAAGCACTAAGCTCACTTAGCTGATTGCTAAGTAAATAACCCATAAAAAAAAGTAAATAACCCAGTCCTTCTTTTCACTGTAGACAAGCTATGATCTGCTTCTCTGTTCTCCATTTTTCATTTGGATTAAATAATATCTGCATTAACCATGACAGCAGACAAGATAGAGGAAAGCAGGAGGCGGGGTTACCAATCTACTCGCTCTGGAGAGCAGAGTTCGCTGCTTTTAGATGTTGTCGCCAAAGTCTCCAGTAGCAGAAAAAAGTGGCTAGATTTGACACTAGGCGCTTTTTTGTAATAAAAGTGCTACAGGGGTCTGAAAAGACACTAAATATAGCGCAAAATCCTTTGTTTTCCTAATGGTTTGCTGCTGTTTGCTTGGACCTTTCTGAACATGTGCAGTAAATGGACTGATCCAATATGGTGGGCTGAAGGGGGGCTGAGACACACTCATTATAAGCGTTCTGATGGCATTTTAGCAAAAGGATTTTTATCAAAAACATAATTAATGTGCGCAAGTAAGGAATAGTTGTATTAACCATACATGTATGCAGAGTTTTATGGGGCCCCCAGGAACTTGGGGTCCTAGGAAACTGCCTAGTGTTGCCTAATGGTAAATCCGCCCTAGACACTCATTAATGTTTAAGATTGTCAAACTAGTTTTAATATCAGATGATCTTAATAGATCCGTTATAATGACCACTGAAAAAAGAACTGTACCATATTGTTAATTTCATGTTTATGTGGGATTAACTACTGTTTTTTATACTAGCTAAATGTTTCTGGTCACACTAAAGCAACATTTCTGCCAGATAAATAAAAAAAAACATTTAATACAATCTTATCTGACAAAACAAATTAAACTTTATGATTTTGGAGAAATTCACCTCTGCATTTAACCCATCCCCTTGGGGAGCAGTGGGCTGCCACAGTGGGACGCCCGGGGAGTGGAGATGACCCAGAGTGGCAGTCTGTGGGAATGGGGCTCGGACTCAGAACCTCCGGATTCCAAGCTCTCTGCCCTAACCACTAGGCCGCCACTCCCCTTTAAGTATAAAATATCTTTAAAAAAAATCCCCATCATTAAAAAAAATCTATTTATCTAAGAGGGGCCAGGCATATACTCATATTTCTCCAGCTCCAGAGAGAGAAATGAAGAAAACATTAACATTCTGCCACACCTTCCCAGCAGTGGCCATTCTACCAAAATTATGTTTTGCTGTGAAATATTTCTTATAATCATAACAAAATCTAACACAAACATACACACTTCTGGTGACATTGCATAAAACAGATGATCAGGGTTTATTTAATTTTTGAATATTGTTATTTTTTCTAATAATGTCTATATTTGTGCATGAGGTGGTTGTTGGATAACTCATAAACCATTAAAGAAAACCCATTTATTTTCAGGTTTAACACTGATGTGCATATAATTACATTTAGTTTAATTTACCAACAAACTCAAATTCCTAAACTACCAATGATGACAGAGGTGGTCATCCCAGTTGATCCTAAAATCAGACATAGTTTGACTTATTCAACCTTTATTTGTTTCACACGGATAAAGACACCAGAGAACACTTTTGTGGAAACACCGCCCTCTACAGTCAAATATGAGAACTACAACATAAGGTTTAAGAATACAAAAAATGTTCCTCAAACCAAATTTCTGTTCATCCTTTTTAACCACAAAAATAATTATAGTTATCTTTTAATTCAGCATTATGAATTTTATTGTAGTTTAATGTACAGTAAGCAAAATGTATTAACTAATCCTATGAGTGTGTAATATAAACATAAACCGACCAGATGGATTAACATTCAAACTGGAAAATTAACAGATTTTAACCACCTTCTGTCCTGAAGAAGAAAAATATCAAAATGGTGGCATCGATTATGGCTTTCAGGGTCACTGGAGTCAAACTGACTCAAAAGTGTAATACAGAAACCCTTACATCTTAAATACAAGTTAATTGTTGAGGCTTTTCATCAGGTTTTTTTTAGCGCCAATTGATCAGCTACTTTATTATTCCCCTTGTGATGTCAAAGCCTTCTTAAAGGAGAATTACAGTCTTTTTTCTTCTGTGTAACATTTAGAAATATTGTATTCAATGAAATGTTAAGATGTAAGTTCTTACCTTAAGACCAATTTATGTCTTTAATGTCATTGTGTATTTAATATTAAAAAGAAACTATGCAAAACCAGAGGGCATGTATCTATATAAATAGTTCCCTTTGTAAAGACTAGAAATGTAACAAAATATTATAACAAAATATTTTTTTTTCTTCTAAATTATTATTGTAAAATTGTGCTGCTTAAGGTGGCTGCACGTTGAAGTAGCTCTGCTCGCTTGATTCTGATGAAAAATTTATTTCTAAAAGAAAATCTTAGCTCTTTTTTGTGAATCAGGGCTTCCTTTTCCTTATGTTTTTTGCCCCTGGTTTTGAATGCTGTGAAACTGAATGGATTTTTACAGATATTTTTTCTTTTTTTGGACACTTGTTATGTTGCTTAATCATGGAAAACATAGCAAGTAGATTTTTTTTTTTACAGCCAGCAACCGCTTATTAACATCTCTAAAGCCGAAATAATACTTAAACTACTTCCACAAGTGCTAACTTAGCTGAACAGCAGGCGCAGAGGATGCAGAGCAGGAGCAAAGAGAAGAGAGAGAGGAAACAAGTTAAAAGCACTCTTAGTTCTAGAAAGGATTCAGCCAGAATATCAGCAATGCAGCATTATGAGTTTTACTGAAAAATGGCTGCAGGATCATATCCCTTGACTCCAATGCCTCTCTGCTAGGGTTATACGAGTAGACATAGATTTAAAGAAGACTGGAAAACTCAAGGGGAGTGGGTCGTCAGTGCTTGTGAACAACAGATGGTGTCATCCAGGACATGTTAGCGCGAATATTCCTCACTACAACGCAGATATTGAACCATTGACAGGTGGTTTTCAGCCACATCATTTACCCATAGAGTTTACCAGTGTTCTTCTGGAAACCATTTACTTCACCTTCTGCCGTTGCCAAAACTATATGTGATGTCATCTGTTCTGTTGTTGCTGACCTACTGACACAAAAGCCCAATGCATTTATGGCAGTAACTGGTGATTTTAACCATGTCTCATTTTATGCTACACTGCCAGTGTTCAAACAGTTCTTCTGCTGCTATACCAGAGAAAACTAAACTTTGGACTTGTTTTATGCAAATGTAAAGAACTTATACATCTCTAAAGTAAGATTTCTTGAGAAGTCAGATCACAATCTTTATACTCAGCTCAGAGTAAAAGCCACTTTATAAAGATAATGTACATTAGGAAGAACTGTAAAAAGATGGTCACAGGAAGCTGAAGAAACCCTACAAGGTTGTTTCGGGGCTTATGGACTGGGATGCACTGTGTCAGCCCCACGGAGACGACATCTGCGTGACTGATTGCAATAAACTTCTGCCTAGATAACAGCCTCCCCACCGGCAGAGTAAAAGCTTCCTAAATAATACACCTGTGATCAGAAGAGTTCCTAAAGAACAACAGGGCCTTGCAAAGGTATTCGCGCCGCTTGATTGATCGGTGTTTTTCCATGTTGCAGGCTTGAAACATAAAGATAGAAAATTGTCATTTCTTGTGAAGGATCAACACAATCATGAAGTGTAAAAAAAATATTGGATAATTTAAACTTTTGTAGAAAAAAAAGCTGAAGAGTTGGGTGTGCAAAATGAATGTGCGCCTTTACTTTCAGCGCAGCAAACTCTCCAGACGTTCAGCGAGGATCTCTGAATGATCCAATGTTGACCTAAATGACTGATGATAATAAATAATAATAAATATAATCCATGTGTTTTATCAAGTCTCTGTATAAATGCACCTATTCTGTGGTCGTCTCAGAGGTCTGTTTAAAGTGCAGGGATTATCTTGAAGAACAGGGAACACACCAGGCAGACCGAGATACTGTTGTGGAGAAGTTTAAAGCTGGATTTGGATACAAAAAGATTTCCCAAGCTTTAACATCCCAGGGAGCCCTGTGCAAGCGATAATATTGAAATGGAAGGAGTGTTAGACTACTGCTAATTTACGAAGACCCGGCCATTCCTCTAAACTTTCAACTCAAACAAGGAGAAGACTG